GCTCCCCCATAGGCGAACTTTTAACTGAACCGACGACCACGCGACTCGCTATTTACTCCCTCTATACCGCGTGTTCTCTTCTCTCTTCGCGATTAATAAACGGAAAACTGCGGAATACTGAAGGGAACAGGTTGTGCATCGAAATATATATCGCGATCTCGGCAATCTCGAGAGCTCCCTGTTGCTCTCAAATTTTTCACTCTCAACTGAGAGGTCTCGGGGGACGAGTAACGCGTGATTTTATCAAGTAGAGGATTAATCGCGACCTTTACATTACCGCACCGATTCGTACGAGAAAACCGACCCGTCCCGATACATTTTCTCGTGTACGCGGAGCGAGACACTGACGCGAGGCGTCGGTCTCGGATGGATCCGACAGATCGGAAAATCTATTCAAAAGCCTCTCGTAGCCGCTCGCAGCCGGCAGCGCATCCCGCTGGTGGTGTAATATTACTTGGTAAACGCCAGCGGGCGCGGAAAAGGGTGAGAGAGAGAGAGAGAGGACGAGGGAGGAGCGGAGTGGATGAGGAAATTTGCAAGAAACTATATTTACGGAGTTCGTTCCGGAACATTGACCCGCGAGAGAGAAGTTACACCCGGTGGAAGCGGTGGAAGCCTCGGAGGTGTTCCGGGCGACCGCAGAGCGGCAACGGCAGTTTTTCTTTTCTGGTGTATAAGACAAGAACCTAAACGCTCTTCTAAGCGCTCGGGCTTTCCTACCTTCCTTACTTCCACTGTCTTCAGCGACGGAGAGCGCACAGGAAGGAGAGCCGTGCGCGAGCGCGCGTGTTTCCTTTTATTTCTGTCGGTTTATTGGATGCCGTGGACGTAAGGACGAAGGACCTAAGGTCTGCGGAATGGGACGGTGCGGTTTCTTTCCGCTTGGATGAGGTGGAAGTACAGGGAAAGAAAGAGTGAGTAAGAGAGACGAGAGAGAGAGAGAGAGAAAGAGCTCCTTTCCACCTTGGCGAAACGGCCACAAAGAATATCGAGCCCCCTCCGGTGCTACGAGACACACACAGGAAGTCTACTTTGACATTGTTCGTAGACTATCGACTGCGCTCGCAAAAAAGTCGCCGGCAAGCAGCAACCATGAGATTTTCGAAAAAGATTCGTCGGCGTGTCTCATATGTGTGGTGTGTGCATGCGTGTGTGTTTATGTGACCGGTAATGTTCGATTTCTATGTGAGGATCTAATAGATTTATGAGGCGGAACGAACGCGGTGCTCGATCCATCGGGCTGTTCCTTAAGACATTAACACGTTGTTATCTCGTCGAGGACAATTAACAGATTCTTATAGTCGAGTCCCACCGAGGGATAACTCGCACCCTTCTTGTGAAGCCAAACGTCTCGACAGAAAATCATCGACGATTATATTAACAACGTGGCGGCTTCGAGCCGCGGTAGAATTCGGAAGAGGACGGATTTCGTATCGCGTCTGAAACGAGTGATGAAATCTCAGTGTGGGCGTCGGCACCGTCTTAGCGGGGATAAGAGAAAGAGGCAACGGGAAGGAGTAACGAACGAACGGATGGATGGACGGACGGACGGACGGAGAGAGAGAGAGAGAGTGAACGGAAGGGAGGCCGGAAGGGAGAGAAGATCGAAGGAGGTAAATTGCCCCAAGATATTTAATCCCGCAGAAAGGCTAAGAAGGGATCTTTCTCTTTCTTTCTCCTTCTCCCTCCCTCTCTCTCTCTCTTTTATTGGCTCGGCAGTGAGCAACGGGCGAGATAAGTTTCCCATCGGATCGATGGCCAATCGCGTTAAGCGATTTTCGCGCCTCGTTATCCTTTGTTTCCATTCGGTGGACGACGATCGACTCGCATCGCTCGGCGACGACTACGACGACGACGACGAAGCTCCTCCGTCTTTCGTGACGTCGAGGATCGATCTTATATTGCGTCGCGCGCGCGTTTCCCTCTCTTTCGCCGTCTGCGCGAAGAATCGCCGACTTTCGCATTCCTCAATGCCAGGGGGAAATTACCGAGGGGCGTCCCGAGGAGCGACCTACTACTACTACTACTACGGCTACTACTACTCCTTACGACTTTCCCGATAGCGAGGACGCAAGAGCGATTTTCAATTGAGACACCCCCGCGCGACTTTGTACTCCGGAAATCGCTCGTCTCTCGAGATACGCTAGGATTAATTAGATATCTGAGAGACAGAGGAGAATCTTCGTGAGAGCGCGTCGGAGACGGAGCGCGTACTCAGACGCGGAGAGATTAGAAGTCGAAAGTAAAAGCGGAACGTGCGCGATTAAAACGGTAAAAGTGTCTTCTTCTCTGAAACGTTTCTTTGCGTATCGGACGATTTTTTAAAGGGTCGATGTTAATTAACCCGGCCCGATGCTAATTGGTTGTCCAATATCTTCTTTATGGTTTATTCGAAACAATTTGCTTCATTTACTTGTCCATTAAAATCTAATTGATTGTGAAATCGTTTAATCTGTAATATCAAGCAACGCCTCGAAATTCGTATTGAAACTCGGAACTTCGCGCTTATGAAAATCAGGACGACAATTTTATCGATATGTATATATTCCTCCCATTAACTCCCGTACTCCCCTCTCTCCTTCTCCCGAATATACTTTGCGTCTTCCTTATCTCTCGAAGTATTATTATTACAAACAGACGTCGTAACAAGATGATAATCCCATTATAAAGTTTAATAAACGTTACCATCATCGCGTGACAGGACTATTAGAATTTTCGCGACCGCAATTCTCTTGCGATACGCGCCCTCGGCGAGGACAGAATGAGGATAAGGATAGCGAGCGAGAGGATGTCGACATCATTGTCGTCGTCGTCGTCGTTCTCGTCACCGTCGTCGTCGTCGTTGTTGCTGTTTTCACCACCGTCGGTACCGTCGACACGGAGGAGCCTGAATTAAGCTCCATTTTCATAGAACTCGGCGCCACGATTGAATTGCCGCCCGCTTGGCTTTTCGCGCGCGAAGTGCTTTCGGAAATTAAGCGGCATTGTGCCTTAACGAATGGGATTCATGCGAATGCGGCCTACGTTCTGCCACCCCTCCCTCTCGGAAAATTCGCCCACCAAGACGCGCAAGAATAGAAGAAAAGTAGCAGCGATGTCCGCGCGCCCCGCGAGAGGCCGGAGTCAATTTCAGGCTTCGTTTACAGTCCTTTCAAGGATAATAGCGGCCTTGCCATGAATCACCCACTTCTGCGGAATCACCGTGAAAATCCGCGACTTCGATCCCATCGCGAACGGGGGAAAGGCGTTCGAAATTTTCGTCCGCGGCAAAAAAAAATGGTTCCGATTGCTCGCCGACTGTGGAAAATCGACTAATTCAACTTCAAAAAATATAACTCCGAAACAAGTCTAGACGGACACATATATATTTAAAATAGTTTCGTGAGATTAACGAACCTCCTTCGTACAGCGACATCGTAATATCCACCGAAGATGCAACCTTTCAAAATTGAATTTCGCGCATATCATCGATCGCTCATCACGACCTCCTGCCGGAGAACTGAATTAGCGTCATCAGCGTGTGAGCAAATTTACATATCCACCGTTCGTTCAATCGCGCATCTCACCGCCACCGATTCACCCCGTCGACGATTTATCATCGTCTTCCGCGAAGGGGCGATCGGCTGTACGTCGGCAAATTCGAGAAGAAGAGAGAAAGAGCGAGAGAAAAAGAGAGCGAGGATTAATACAAAAGACGCGCAAAGAAAGTACACACACACACACACACATATATACACACAGGCACACAAAGCGTCAGGGGTGGCCGGGGAGCGAATATCCTCCGAAGACGAGGAGGCGTTATTGCCCCGGTGGCGAGTTCATGGCGGTTAATGGTGGTGGTGGTTTACGGCGGTGGCCACGGTGGTACCGCTGCTCGTACCAGGCAATATCTGGTCAGTCACGTAGACTGACCTCAGCACCGAGCAATAACGACGCCCGTCTGGACGTTTCTCCGCTGTGTCGCGTACGTGGCGACGGCCGAACGGAGAGGCTGCTCTCCGTCGCCTACTACGGCGGTGGTTGTCGTCATCGTCGTCGTCATCAGACGACCGTCGAACGGCGTCTTTACCTTCGGAGCTTTTCTTCAGGTGCTCTCGAACGTACCTTATCTCCTCGTAACGCGCACCAACGAGCTAACAAACGAATATGCGCCTCTTTCTCTCTCGTTCTTTTCGCGAGAAAAACGCGGATGAGAGGTATGCGGTGCGAGAGCCGATGTTATTCAAAGAAAAGTTCTTTCTTGCAGAAAGTAAGTATGAGATCAGTCGACAAAAGTTCGATTCAATTTTTGACAAATGTGGACAATGCTAATGGCCGACTAGTCGGTCGATGAATAATTTGCCCCTTTTTTTTGTTGAATGCAACGAAGTAAACTTTGACCCAAAAATCGAACTAAACTTTTTGACTCGCCTGAGCTCAATGAGATCATATTTTTATTGGTTCCTAAAACACAAGGTGTCCCAGCACAAGAAAAACACCTAAATGTCTTCTTTGATGATCCTTATTAATGATATAAAGTTAAAAATCGAAAAAAAAAATGACCGTAAAAAATTTCCCTCCACGACATTCCTCTTTCGAAATCATTCATCTATGGGCTCTAAATGTAATTTCTCATGTAATTAAAAATAAAGGAAATATTTAAGTGTTTTCCTTATGATGGCGCATTCTGTACACGTTCAGCTTTGATATAATAATAATAATTTCATATAATAATAGAACACACACACACACACACACACACATATATATATATAACTTGCTGGTATTATTTATTACGAGCCCGCACTTCGTTTCGACTTTACGGTCTTGCCGAAGTATCCTCATCTACGCGATGAAGTTCGCCGGACTTCGTCATCACGTACGCGCAAGGCGGAGCCACGAAGTCTCAAAGTTACGACAAAGGAGAGACGACATTTCTTATCTTTTCTTCCTTTCCTCCTTTCTTTTTCAGCGACAGACTAATAGAGGAACGATAGAGACCAGGAAATTGTGGGACTCACCGTACATCTTCCCTTCGTCGGAAAGGATGATTTTGCGTCGACCGCATGGCGGATATATGGTAAGAGCTTCCTGGAAGCTCTGTTCGATATCCGGTGACCACACACCCTCCGCGTCCGCTGCCGACAGGTCCTTCTCGTCCTGGAAAAATACGATCGTCATGATTCAAAAGCCGGAGATGAGTCCGGAGGAAAAGCAAGGGACTCAAATTATCGCTCATCGTTCACGATCATCGCTCGCGTTCGCTCGACATTTAATAAGACTCCGGCACGTCTATCGTTCGAGCGACTGATTAACCCCCTCGCGAGTTTCCGAACTGCCGGGGGGGGGGGGGGGGGGGTTTTTNACAGCCGCAACCCCGCAATTGTATCTCTCGAACGACGAACCGATAATAAACGATCGCGACCGATAAACCGTCTTTCTCGAGCGAAAGATCTTTATTGTCAACACATTTCAAGTTATTATTTTAATCCCCTGCATTCTAAGAAGGTGCCGTCGACAATTTCTTATAAAACTCGGAAATCGCCGCGGCGGCGTCTCTCGGTCTTCGAATCCAAATCTAAACCGGTTACCGTTAGTTTGAATAAACTGATCTAAAAACCCAAAGGTCCCTCTGTGAAGTTTTCCGAGTTTTTGAAGAAATCTGGGCAGGCGCCCTTGGAACACAAAGGGTTAAAATAAGAACACGAGGGCTAGGTTCGTGAGAAAGGCATTGAATTTTATTTGGGGCTGCCGTTCCTCTGAACCTCTTCAGCCTCTTTGGGATCGTCTTAGTCGCTTTTCACCCAGATATCGCGCTCGATTCTCACGCCGGCATCCGTCACGTTTCGTCACGATTGCGTTTCGCGAGAACGTAGCGGCTCGCGATACCACGCGCATCTCAGCGGCCTGGGCACGTTCGACACGAGAAAAGTTCATTTATCACCGATTCCGCCGCTGACCGCGCGCGCGCAATTTATCTGCCGCGTTGATCGCGAAGAACGTGGCCGGACCTCGGGGGAGACCTTCCTCTTCTTCTGCCTCCGCGAAACAAAGGGACTCCTCCGGCAGCCGCGAAGCCACGCTTGGAACGTGGCCGAGAGAGAGAGAGAGAGAGGGAGGGAGAGAGAGAGAGAGAGAGAGAGAGAGCGAGCGGAGTCTCGATTTTCTCCCGCCGAATCCAGAGAAGGATCTTCTCTTTCGATCCTCTCGCTCTCTTTCCCTTTTATTTCTTCTTTTCTTTCGCGTCGCGTCAGCTACGTTGGTGTCGTCGTTCGCCGATTCGATCCGATCGAAACGTCGGGTGACGAATACGCGTGATACGCGGAAACACACCTACGGGTCCGAAGGGTTACGTACCACCATCGCTCGCTCGGTTCGCGAGGCTGGAATTTCAAGGGAATCGACGAAAACCTCCGTGCCGCACGAAGAGCCGAGAAACGGGCGATTACGGACGCGGGCGTCAGGTACCGAGAAGCGTGGAAAAGGGTGCGAGGAAACCGGGGCTCGTCCCTTCCGAGAACCCTAGTCACGTTCGCCACGTTCGATATAATATCGCGGAGCACGCAATCCGGAACCCGGTGGACTCTCCGGATGGTGCGGAAGTATAAAAAAATGAAGGAAAGAAAGAAAGGAAGAAAGGAAGGAGAAAAGAGAGAGAGAGAGAGGAGCGAAGAAGAAATCCTCGATTCGATCTCACTCGCGACCGCGCGCGCGCGCACCTTTGATCGCGACGCTGCGCGCCCGTAGATCGCCGATAAACGCTACCGCGAAACGGTACTCCGTTTCGTTTGAATTGCTAAATCATCGCGGGAACAGTTACATCGACGGATACATTAAGCGGAGAGAAAATGGCAGTTTCCTCTCTCCGCGTACACACGCGAGCGTTAAGTAAATAACATTAAAAAAGAAAAACACGGACGTGCGGGGCAATGAAAATAGTAAATGAATAAAATACGCATAAGTCGGGTGCGTTCGTCGCGTCGTCGGTGAAATTACATGCGGGAGAAGAAAGGCGACGACGGCAGGGGGGAAGCAGAAAATTAAATTGCAAAGGCGACGTTCAGCTTTGAAGCTGTTTCGCACGTCTGACCCAAATAAATCCAATTTGCATGTGCTAAGCTCGGCAAATTAACGCTTAAGTAATCCCGTGAATTTTCATGACATTAGTATTCATGATGCTGTTTGGTTTTGCAGCGGGAATATGTATGCAAATAAATTCCGCGAACAAACGAAAAGTAACCGCGGGAACGGTTTAATCCTTAACTGGGAACAGCGCGTGCTCCCGCGGCCGGACCCGATGAAATTTCATTGTCGCGCAATTCGCCCGGGAGATTATTTTATTTTCGACACCGCGTAAATCCCTGCCGGTGCGAAAGTTATCATCCCCCTCTATGCAAATCAGAGATTATAAAATGTGTATTCTCTTGATAACGCGGAAAACTATATCTCTTGGTCAATTTCAAACGACATCGCGCCATCGTGATTTTCGAAAAATGAACGACCCTTCAGCTCTCTGATCGAATACGCAGCTAGAACACATGCACGAAAAGCCAAATGATGAGGATTCTCCCTCTGTACGATGGTCGCTCGCGTATCACACACTGCGAGAAGAGTGCTCATTTTTCTTTTCTTTTTCACAGGATGACTTTCGCCAACGGGGCGATGATTGCGTGAAATTACATCTGCACCGTTACATCTTACGTCGCATAATTCGCATAATCCGACTCGAGTCCTCACGCGAGACGGTATACACACTCGTGAACTCGACGAGAGTCGGCTCACTTTTCCGGCCGAATGAGAACGCGAACATCGGAAAAGGTTTCCGCCTTTTTCGAACTCACGGGCCGGCGAGCTAATTGAAATAAGAACGACGCGGAAAAAAAGGAGGAAAGAGACAAACGGAAAGAAAAAAAAAGAAAAAAAAGAGAGAAAGGCGGCGCGCGAGTACGCGCAGCGGTCTTTAATTGGAGACGGCACGCTCGACTTACATCGCTAATTTCGCCAACGTCGAGGTTCTTCGTATCCGAGCCGGAGCCGTTGGCGTCGGGCGGCGGCCCGGAACTCGCGGGGGTCCACGGCGCGGAAATGGTGTCGGCTGCAGCCACCGCACTGCCTGCAACAAACGAGAGAGACGAACCCCAGTTTATTAACTTTCCCTCAGAAAAATCCACTCTCTCTCTCTCTCTCTCTTCCCTTCCCCCTTTCAGCTTTTCGTCGGCGCTCTATGCGCGGAGATACACGTGCCGACCAACCAGCCTGCATCTCGCGATGCGAAAAGTAATTAAGCGCAGTGGGACGACGTGCAAACATACACATATTATATATATATATATATATATATATGTGGGCCGGAGATACATTCACGAGTCTTTCAGATCTTTCATGGGGAAATATTTCTAGCCCTTTTTTTGTAGAATATCGAATTTGCCGAAATCCTGCGACGTGCATGTAATTCAGAACTGCTTAGTGTGTTTATAAAACTTATATCTAGAGTTAGAATATCAGGAAATGCCAAACCGTGACTATTAATCAGCAGAACATAGAATATAGAGACACGTGAGCGGAAGGGAAGCGGTTAGCCGGTGGTTCTACTGCAGCGTCGACAACCCCCGCTTTGACAACCGGAAGCATTCAGGCATGCATGCAACAATGATCTCTCTTTTCAAGGGTAACCATATTAAACATTAATATTAACAGTAATCATAAAACAATCGGATGGTAGAGAGAGTCCCGCCGTTCAATCATTTCGCACCACCGGAATCATTATAATACCGCCGGTAGGGACACCCCTAGCACGGCTAACACTCCACCCCCTCCCGCCAATTACATTGTGCGTTATTGTTTCTAACGATGTCCGCTACAGAATAACGAATTAATTTCGCTGGCCATCGCGCGCGCGGCTCGCCCGCGCTTTCGACAGTGGGATATTATCCTATCGGATTAGCCACGAGGGAGAGATCGACGAGGGTGGAAGTCAGGGGGTCGCGTGCGCGCGCGAGAATGAGGGTGAGAGGTGGGAAGCGAGAGAGGGTGCGCGCAGCGGAAAAATCAGCACGTGAAAAATCGCGGTCGCGGGGGGATAAAGGGGGGGTTGGGGGTGCAAAGGAGGGCGAGGGGGTGCAGCGAACACGGTGCTACGTCGCTCGTCGGAGCAACAAGTGTTCGCTGATATCGCGTATCAGTGCCGCGACGGCAGGTGGGGGTAGTTCGTAGGCGGTACACTCCGCCTACCGAGGGTGGAGTGTGTATGTTGAGCCCCCGGAAAAGACCCCTACCCCCGGATTCGTGGTGTCGGTGGCGGTGCAAATCCCGATCCGTAGCAACAACCCCCGGGAAAAGCCGAGCGTGCCCCCCCTCCCTCCCTCACGTCGNCATCGTCGTCCTCGTCGACGTCGACCTCTATCTATGACTCTCTCTCTCTCTCTCTCTTCTCTCCCTCTTCCAGTCCCTGCCGTATCCTCATCGCGATGACGAAATTCATCGGGGAATCATTCGCGGGAACCCGCGCCGCGCGCATGTGCTGACCATGCTCGGCACTCGAGGAATCAAGATGAGACGGATAATTGTTAATTATACGCAGATATTCGTGTTACGTGCTCCACTTTGTCCGTTTGGACGCAGGGGAGTGAAAGAAAGAGAGGGGGAGGGAGCGAGGGTGGAGGAACGGGTCGCCGGGATTACTGGGCTAGCCTTGTCGAGTCCGGGGCATTGTTAATTATTGAGCATCTTTTCGCTAGGGGTGGTTAGTCGATAGCGCACGTTTTCGAGAGAGAGAGAGAAAGAGAGAAAAAGTTAGGAACGCGGAGGGAGAGAGACTGTTCAACTTAATTTACCTACGCTGAGCACTCTAATTGAAAGTCTCAGCGCTTAACGAGATTTTCTCATACCGCGTCCCGTACTTAAGACCTGTCATCAGAAAGAGAGAGAGAGAGAGAGGGGGGGAGGAAAAGAGGTAGACAGAGAAAGAACAGGTGTTGAAGAGGATAATTCGCCAAATCCGTGTCGAGATGATCGATTCCTTATAAAGATAGCAAAGTATTCCCCGTTCTTTTCAGTCGAGTCTGAATGACCCGCGGATGAAAGAGTGAGAGACGATGTGTCGGTTCGATTCGCAAAGCTCTTTGTGAAAGACACCGTGCGTGCGCTCTGTCTCTCTCTCTCGGCCCATCCGTTCCTCGTGAAAACACACGCGGGGTCACCCGGCGATATCGCGATGCAGCGGCTTGCGCACAATCGCGGATGCACACGGTGGGCTAACGGTGAACGCGGCTCGCGCGGTACTCGAATGCGCGCGCGAATGCAATATGCGAGGCGGCGGTGGCCTGAAAATGAGCGGTGGCTTAATAGAGACGTGCAGACGCGGTTTGCGTACTCTCGCACGTGCACCAGCGAGCGTGCGCGCGTGTGTGTGTCCATCCAGCCCGCGTGCAGACTGCAACGCCAGGACGCCGGCAGAAGGCATAGATCATGGCGGATGATGCATGGTTGCACTCGGCGTTCTCGCGGCTGGGCGCTAGAGGAAGAGGAGGATGTAGGGGGGGAGGGTGGTTATATACCCAAGGGATGGAAATGTTCGGATGTGAAGGATAGGGTATGACCAGGCTGGCCGTGATAGGATACAGATACTCGGGGGAGGGAGTCGACGCCTCTCTCTCTCTCTCTCTCTTCCTCACTCTCCTCGAAGCCTCGGAATGTCCCTGCCGCTGCTACGAGATCGCGAGACCGCGAACGTGCGCGTCCTTCTCCGTGGCTCGGCCGCAAGCCACTCGGCGCCGGATATCACGGCTAGATTTTCTCCCCCGGCTTCGAGCCGTCGAGCAATGATCGAGTCGCTGCGAATTTTCGGCCCGTGAGGAGCGCAGCGGCCGCTTCTCCAGCTGCCGCTCTCGCCCGGGATTTCATAGGCATTTCGCAGCCTCCGAGATTAGAGTAGTTCCTGCATCGAGATTTCTTGGGCAGGAATCTCACCCGAGTGAACATTTGTTCAATGTGATAACAAAGATACCGTCGCATTCAGCATCGCAAGAGTGAATTTGCGTCCCACCGAAATCTGAAATTCTTCATCCGGTCACGCCGGAATTTTTCAGTCGATCCGTGCGAATTTGTCTCGTCACGATGGTGCGGTACACATCAGATTCACTCTCTTCGATCTCGAATAAAGATATTCACTCGGCAATTTGCTCTGTACGAGTGAAAAGTCGCTTGACTCCGAATGACTCGGCTGTCACCCTACTTTTCAAGTGGAATTTCACCCGAAGAAATCGAGAGAGTACACTTCCGAGATCGCTCGCCGCGGTGAAACCACAGCGAGGTAAAAATGCAACGCGATAGGGTCGGATTATAGGTAGCGAGGTTTCTTCAGATAATTCAATGTTCGTTTGGTTTTGATGAAGCGGCTTGACTCGGTTGTTTAAGCAACAGCCGGATTACTGGGTCTCGCGAGATGAGAATTACGGCGTAACGGCCAGAAGACGCGACGCAGCGACGAATGAAGAAACTTTCGCGAGATAGAGCCGGACGTTTCGGTATGTCGTGAACATCCGCGGGAATGAGATCACCACATACGTCTTTCCACTCGCGCGCCTTTGTGAGTTTGCTCCCGCCGTGTTACATCGTATGCGCGCGGTTAACCCCGAAGTCCTCGGGAACTCGACACTCGTCCCCATCAACTCCGTTTAATTCCGCTCAAATACAATATAAAGTAGAATGTCGCGAGTCCTGTACAACAGTTTAATTCTCGCATCCCGACGAAAGAAAATTCGATCGACGTGAATACGTCTCAGTCCCCCTCTCACCAAGAGAGATTCTCCGTCGCCTTGCTCATCCGGCAAAATCCTGCTGAGCTAAAGTCTCAGCGACACAGACTGAGATCTGTGCATCTCGGAAGCGTGCGGGTATCAGCGAAATTGACAAACGGCGATCTGAAATTCCGAGCGACATCCGGCCGAGTGAATTCGTCATCGAGGGAACGTCACGTCGCGGACAGCCGGAAAATGTCCTCGGTCGCTTTATCCTTGAGCCATATACCGATGGTATGTATCCGTTGCATAGAGGAGGGGGGGGGGGGGGNGGGGGGGGGTAGTAAATGCCGCGTTCGCGGATGGCGGTGGTGGCACTGGCTAAGCTGTAAATTTGGCGTATAACCATTCGGGGGTGGCCCTGGTCGAGTAGGCCAGGTCCTCCACCTCTCTCCCTCTCTCTCTCCGACCCTCACTCTCCCCCTCTCTCTCCCGTCCTGCTTTTCGGAGGTGGTCGACGAGGGGGCGGCAGGCAGGGGTGAGACAGGAGACGGGGGTCGTAGAAGCATTCATAGCAGGGACCAGAGGGTGGCTTCGGTGGAATGCGTCCCGTTTAATATCGCGGAACATTATATATCGCCTCTCTTGTCCCTACGTTGCCCGTGCGGAGCGCGGTATAACGCGCGCAAACACACCCTCGCACGCGAGCGCACAAGTATACACACACACACACACACACACTTGTGTACGAGGAAGCGCGCGACCGCGTACCCACCGGCGGTCGCGGCGTCGTCCGATAACGCGCTTTGATAACAGGGGTGTCTTTCCGTAACGAGCCGAGTCTTCCGCGAGGCGTCGATGGAGTTGTCATTTTTCGCTCACATTGAAGTTTTCCTTCAACTTTGGACCGACGAGTCGATGATTCGGCCCGATTGATTCGACTCTTAATTTATTCGTCCCTTCATTACGTCGGCTGCGCCTCATTGGTCTTAACAGACACTGATCAGTGAGAACAAGAGAGACTGCAAATTGGAGGACACTCGTGGGTATTTCGAGGCTGAAACTTTAAGATCGATCTGTCCCTTGATTGTTATCGCTTCTAAAATTTTCGCTTAATACAAGTCAAGACGAAAAACTAAAAAATTCTTCATTTCCAACAAGTGGTACGAGTCACCGATAAGTCAGGCATCGGGGAATTTTAATTTCTGAAAGTAGTATAAGTCAATATTACGTCGGACGTTCGTTCATACGACACGTTATGTCACAGCTACGGTAACGTCGCGGTATTTTTGCTCCGACATAACGAGATTCGATTCGCGCAAGGGAACGCCGGGGGAGGAGGGGAGGGAGAGGTAAAACAATCCGCGGGCAAATT